TTTATGTAATGTATGCTTATATGCTATAGCTCATATTGTCATGTGTGTACATGAATTGAGTTCTGAAATAAACTTTGAAACTACTGTTTTACAGTTAGATCAAACTAATTGAGTTGATTTAAGATAAATAAAATTGCCGCTTTAAAGTTCTTCAATTAATAAACGTCAATTAATTTTTTCGACGTCATTTGTTAATAAAGTGTTCAAATATATGACGTTTTTGAAATAGGTTTATCTCAATAAATAATCTTTTGATTTAAAAATAGTTTTCACTATCTTATTCAGAAAGAAAATCGCTACAAAAATGAGATTAAAACAAAATTTCGAAACAAATGTCATTAAAAAGGAAATGGAAAGAAAAAAACACAATTTTAACAGAAAACCCTTTGCTGTTGATTCTCCGCCTGGATTCAGTATGAGTTAACAGTCACTGTGCCAGTACTGGTTTTGTTAAATTCAGAATTTTCAAGGTTGACAGTTACTTTTCAGTATGCGTCAATTTTGGTTACATTTTATTTCATGGCATTTATTGGCAAATACAATAGGTATTATAAATAAAATTTCAAGTTTCTATGCTATTCATGACAAAGCATATAATGCATTCTCAACATGAATAATATTTATTGACACATACTTGCATTTTGCATGATTGAATGAATAACGATAAGTTCCTATTTCATGCGTTCCCGTGTTTTATTGTAATATATCAGATGATTATATTCTGATAAACCTCTAGTGAAATTTATAAAATATAATTTTCACTGTAGCCGGACTATATTTGAATGCTGATGAAAAGAAAATCATAACTTAATGGAATAACAGGCAGAAATAAATGCTGTCATGCGTACATTTTGCTTCTAAAGGAAAAGAAAGTCGATGTCACCATACATCATGTTAAGAATGGAGCAAAGTTAGAGAAATTTAACATAACTATATTTCAAAATTGACGATGTGACGTCATGATGTGATGACGTCACAAAGGAGAATGTCCGACATTACGCGGCAAAATCAGTAAAAAATACTTAAAATCACTTAAAAGCATGAAATAATAAAAAGATTAATTTGTTTTACATATAAGATTGAAATATATTTCATTCGTGAATACCAGCTATTATATTTACACTCGTGGCTACGCCACTCGTGAAAACATTGCATCTGGTGTTCACTCAGTGAAATTATATTTCAATCTTACATGCAAAACAAACATATACCCTCTATATATTCATAACCACATAAACAATAAATATGACACAGCGGAGAGTATTATATTCTTGTCTACTGTTAATATTTGTTAAATATTTAGGACTATTTGTTTGAATTAACATTTGTCGAATTCTTCTTTTCATACACGGAAAATACAAAACATCTGACAGACGTTGTAATATTTTCTATTACTTGATAAACATTATGTGCAAACATCTCATGCATAGCTATTTGATAAAATATAATTATATTCAGAATTGAACTTATAAAATGATTGTATTTCATCAAAGAAACATAAATAAAAAGGATATAACAATTATTTGGTAAAGAAATTATAATGAAGAACAATTTTAACTGGTAAATGGATAAGATCAGCAATTATATAAACATACATACTTTTGTTATTGTCAACATTTGTGAGGGAGAGAAAAAAGTAATTGCAGAAAATGAATGACCTTGGACAAAGTTTGAAAAGCTTTTAGTATCATATTTAACGATATGACTGCCACGTTTGATTAATATTCTAGGTTTTAGTATAATTGTTACATATTCAATCGCAAAATAATGTTCCATTATTTGATATCCCAAAATATATTGAAGAATAATGTTTAAAATATGTTAGTTTAAACTGTCAGATACTGATTGATATACTGGTAATTATTTGGTTTTTGTAGACATACTTTACAAAAATAATTTGTACAGAAAAGAATTATTTCGGCGTAGTAAATTCAATTAATTTCTTGACCTATTAATAACGAATGTAATTGTAAGTTACGAAAACTTTACCATTATGAAGATGTATTCCATCGGGTAAATGAGAATTTATGAAATCTAATGTCAAGCTTTATACTTTAACGATCATTCGTCCCTTTAAAGTCTTATCAAGTCGAGAACGTTGTTTGAGGTCCACCTTCTTTGTATCTAGCGTTATGTCCTTATAATTAATTTTTACTTTTGGTGAGAAATTCTTTTTGTACACCCTTGTTTGTTTGTTTATTTCATTTTACGCCTTTTCCCAACAGTTTTTCAGTCATATAGGCGGATAGTTTCCTAACCATCGTTCCTGGAGAGTTACACCAGTACTAGACTACCCTCCTCCGTGCTAAACTACCAAAGCATCTCCCGTGGATCAAACCCACGCCAAAGAGGTAACTGGATTAGAAGTCATCGACTCTAACCCCTCGACCACGGAGGCGGTTTGTACACCCTTGTAATCCAATCATCTTTCACAAATTACCAAGTATAATGGGGAAGTAAAATTCAAAAAAAACTTTAAATATATCTGATATTACATAGCGAGCTATTAGAATGGCCGTTTGTCCATGTCTACAAGTTGTTCCTACAATGCCTATGTTTGGTGGAGGAATCTTCTGTTACACTCTTATTCCTTATTTGTTTCACACGTTTTATCATCATTTATACGGACTATATAATCCATACTATCTTTATAAGCTTTCTACATTGAAGCTATTGCATTGACAATTTTGTAAATGAGCCGCCAATTGTTACTACAGGTCTTATTTTATCAAACTTGGTTTCAAGTTCATACTTGATTGTTTCAAGATAATCCACTTTATCAAGTTCAACGTAGATAAAAAAATTAATTGTTAGATGAATTTTCATATGGATGGAATACTTTAATTGATAAAACTCAATTTATTCAAAGACAGATTTTTAAAATTCTTGTCATAAAACGGGATTAGTATTCTAGTATTCTAAGTCTGCAAACTCAGAAAAAGAATGAATAAACAATTTTCAACTGCATAACTATAACAGAACGCACAAACACAAAGGAAAAGAAGATGTTAATCTGACAGAAGAGATAATGTTACATCTAAGGATAGAAAGACAGTAGAGGCATAAACATTTAATAATTGTCATTGTTGTATAGATATTTGCTGATATTTTTATAAGATGAATATGCTAATAATATGCCAATTCAACCTGGTATTTTTATCAATTTTGTATTAAATTTGTCAGTAATACCAATGTAGATATGTATAGTTATAAGAGTACTTCAAAATGTGCACCATAGAACTCTACAGACTTTTCCAGCCTCACAATTTATTCCGAAAAAGCATTTTGAACTGTTCTTTGGGTTAAGTATTTATACACTGGTAGTGAACTTGCATCTGCATCAACTATGGCTTTGACAGTACTGATGTCTTTTTTAAGAGATGGTGAATATTGACAGGCCATCATTAACATTAGTTCTACCATCCTAAAACATTGGCACCCACCTGGTAATTGTACGATATGAAAGGGTATTTTTCCATAAACTAAATCTAGATCCGTTTTTATTTCTGACGCGAATTTACCTAGTAACCTACGAATTTTGCAATAAGCTCTATGCTCCGCTATCAATTTACAATGCAACTCAGCCATGTTTACAACAAGTATACAAACCTCAATCTTTCCAACGGTATGTTATACATGTACATTCACATCATGGTTAAATTAAATTGTTGCCACTTATTAGAATATGCACCACGTACAATTATTTACAATACATATTAATGGCATGATGCACATGTAAAAAGGTCTATAACAAAGTCAACTCTTATCCTTAAAACAGATTTAATATATATAATATACATGCTATGCATGAGGTCAGGGTTCCCGTTGAAAGAGTACAATGTCTCTTTTATTTAACATTTTAAGAAGTACGTAATGTTTACAATTCCTTAATAAAGCTGACATCTAAAACATATAGATATAGTAACTGGTTTTTGTAAAATTTCCAAATTGAGCGTTCCAAAGATGCAAGCAATAATCGTCATCTATGCTAAAGAACATCTAACAACAGCTCCTTAAACTAGCCACTTCTTATGATTTAAACCTAGATAGTCTCAGACTAACAAATCTGTAACGTTATATGCCTAAATCGTACTGGGATACATTTCTAAGTCTCTTACCGTCATATTGTATACATGTCTAATATATATTCTAATATTTTATACTCATATCTTGCTATACATATCTATTTGTAATTAAATTTTTACGACTTAATTTTCCATATAAGAAATATTATTATATATTAGTCTGGGTTTGGATAGCTGTTTACAATATTGAAAATTTATTCTTTCTACAGCATTTGTTTCTCTGAATCCCGATATTTGACATTCATAGCTTAATACAGGAACAACTAGCATAAAAATTAATAAAAAGAAATGCTTAACATCAATATAAGTGCATTTATCTAAATAAGACTTGAGTTTGATATAGCCTGGCTTGCAAATGCCTCGTGCGTTACGGTAAACGAAACACCTGTGGTACATGTAATGCCTTAACAGGAAAAGTTTTAATATTACCTACAACGTGATCGTTATATGTAAAATTAATATTTCTTCTGTTTGTGCCACCATTTCTAAAAACCATAACATTTTTAAACATTTACTGTAAGTTTCAATTTTATCAAGCGAACAAGAATTCCTAACCTTTATGTAAACTCGTTTCCTTTCAGCAAAATTATCAATATCATCAGCAATTTGTCATAGGAAGAGTTTAAACATGTCTAGCTTTACAAATGCATGTTATATGAATTGTTCCTCAATGTCCTTTATATGGATCTAATAACGTCAAATATCTGTCCTCTAACGCACAAACTAAGCAATTCAAATCATATAGATTACATAACACAAAATGCATTGGTAAAATCTATCAAGGCCACAAAAGTGTTAATTATTTAAAACGTATAGGACATGAATATATACGTCATAATATCCCATACATAATTATGTTTCACACTTAAATATCTTGGAGCGTGACTATATTTACAGCATATAGAAAGCCGATAGAATACCTGAACTTATTATTGTCAGGACACGAAAAGCGTAATATAGGGAAAAAATCATATTAAACATATTTTTAAAATATATACATCCATAGGGAATAATTTTGTGCTGAGAGACTTAAAATAAGTGAGGTAAGTGAGTAAGTTTGCATTTCCCACTAAAATATTCGCGAGTCTCAATTTCTCTCCCGATTAACTGATATCAAAGTGGTATAAGTAACTGAATTCAGACCTGAAAGACAGGATGATAAATAATTTTGAAACATCTAAATGGTCTCCAAATTAATTATAAAATCCCCCCCCCCCCAAAAAAAAAAAAAAATAAAATGAAATAAATGAAGTTAACAAGATTTGAATCCTTGTAGAGACTCGGGACCTGTTTCGCAAGAAGGATTATCTTATGTAAATTCATTTACATCATATAGTCCTCTATCATTACCCATTACACGATATACACGCCTTATTACCCGCACTCTTTTTCGCAGTCTCAAATAGTGAAAAAAATCCTTATTTAGGCCTCTAACACTTGTTTTTTTATTTGAGAAATGTTGTTTAAAAAAGTGACCATTTTCCGGTGTGGCTCCCTATCCAAAAGATACATAAGGATGTTTCCAGAAGGGGGATGTGCCTCCTTCTGTTCGGGGCTTTGAAGGGGAGCGGCAGTCCTCCTCATCGCCAAGAAAATTTTGGACTTGTGAGAGGCTACAAATGACACAAGATCGATCATAAAGTATCGTGTAACCAAAGCTGAAAAGCCGTTGAGTTTTTCTCAATCCATTGAGAAGTTGCAGCCCTTTAAAATCAAATTTGACTGGAAAAAAATCAATGCAAAATAGTCATTTTCGGCAATTTTGAGATGTTCCCTCGTTGCCATAGTAACAGGAAATTCAAGACTGAGCACGTTGTTACAGAGTCAATGGCCCAGTTAACATTTGTGCCAAGTTTGATTTCTATTGAAGCATATCTTATAGTTTTATAGCAATTTGAACTTGTAACGGGAGATTTTTTCAATGAAAACAGCTATTTTTCAGAAAATGCTCATGCAGTAATGGTTTAACTGTTTAATCTGCTGTCTCATTGTGGTTTGGCGCGTCTCTTTAAATTGTGAACCGAATCAATCAATAAATTTCAATTTCAAAATCATTCTAAACAAATGGCAAATTTAAAGCATAACGAAATACCAATGGTTTGAAGTAGGCTTAACGATACTAAATTAATATTTTTTCTTGTTATAAAAATATTCCTGCGTAATTCTTAAATATTTTACAGATGAATGTCAAAAAAGCTATAGGATGGTTGCAACCTATTAGTTTCTTTATATTGACCTACAGACTAGATGCACCGCCTTAAAAACGGCGGCAAATTTTGTCTCAGAAACAACTACATTTTTATATTATTTAGAAAGAGCAAACATCAATTTTAAAACGTTTAGATAAAAGTTGTATAGTATGCTAGATGCTTCTTTTCGAAAGAAAGTAGAACTGCATGTGAAATTGCCAAAGGTAGCAAAATGTAAACATAGTTACTCTAGTATTTTTACTTCTATACAACTTCTTAATCACCATAAGTGTACTTCTTTCACAAAAGTAACGGAAGCAACAAAAATGGCTCGGGTAAAGTATCTTTTTGGAAACTTAACAGGACATCAAAATAATAAAATTTAGAGAAATAGAAATAAAAGCATTTCTTGGGCATAATTGGCTTTTAAGTAATCATTTACTTTTTATTTTACTACATTATACAATTTTATTGAATTGTTGAACGTTTTCTAAATGACTTAAACAAAACACTGAATCTTTCTTATTTTGACAAAAATATTTATCATCCTATACCGACAGTAATAAATGACAGTTATTATAAAGTTATTTTTTCTGCATCCAATACAAATTGTAGTTACTAATGATATGGGTATGGAACATTTTTTATGGGTATGGCAAAACTTTACATTATCAAAAACTAAGTAAAGCTACTGAGTTCTTTGGAACATTAATTACTTTGACACCAATCCTTGTTAAAATATATACTTGACATAGCAAGTTCTATTTCTACAGGCTTTGCCATGGCTCACGCTAAATATCTCCTTTCAAGCAAGTTTTGAAGTAACATTGACCCATACGAATTTTAAACTAAGCGGGGTCACTATTTTTGATACTGTTTTTAGCGTCCTAAAATGGTTATAAAAATCATAAAATGTATGTAAAGAAATGGAAAAAAAATAAACCAAATAGTACATCTTTATCGCACGAGACTTGAACGCTGTCTTTAAGATTGTAAAAAAATGCCATTTTAAAGCAGAGAATAGTACGTGCCCCCACAATACTTCAGTGGTATCGCTTGTTTGATGTCCCACCGAGTACGTTCCTTAGGCAACGGATGCACATCAAAAGTTAAAAGTTCTATAAGTTTATAAAAACGGAACATGCCACATGAATTGTGAATGTTATTTGACACACTGATTAAACTAAATAAAGTTAGTTCAAGATTTTTTTTAGAAAATTGGTATAATTTAAATATTGTGATTAAGATACCCGTAATTGTTTTCATAAAACATTACGATCTACCGTACATAAATATCAACAACTTCCTGATAAACGTTAAGTTGTTATTATATCAGACCGACTAGGTGGTGAACATACATGCGTTTGCCAGTTCATAACCATTAGAAAAACTTATAACCATAAAAGGTTAGTTTAAATATATTTTCAAGCTGTTGTTATCAAAAGAAACTGACATAGGAAACAGTTGTTTGTGATGAGCAATTGATTAAAAGATTTTTTTACTGTTTCTGTTTCGTTTTAGCTGGTTTGGAAATTTATTGGTCTTTTTTGAGAGATGATGCGCCAGTGATTGTTTTTTGAATAGTAAAATCAAGATTGTGTCTTTTGAAGATAAGTACAAAGTATATATATTCAAACCATTACACATTCTTTTGATAATATTATGCATTATTTTATCTTAAAATACATGTACCTATTTTGAAAATATGTTTTTTATAAATAAAAAACATTTCAGATCTCAACAAATTTACCAAGGGACGGAATCATGGCTTCTGTGTTTATGACTGGCATATATTCGCAAGTCATAATCTTTCTTCTTGTTTTTTTTTCCAAACCTGTACAAACAAGGACATATTCAGAAACTACTGATGGAAGTGACTCTAAAACGAAGTAAGTGTATTATCTTATTTGTTTTATTTTATTTGTCTAGCCAAATAAAAGAGAAAAAATCTATTCCGCTTATTGTTGAGGTTATAGCTACAATATCATCGGGCATCCATCAATGAATTATTTTACCTTAGTTACAGGTATTTGAAATACTGATATATAGCGCAAACTCGGCTAACTAGCTAGACGGATCATTATGATATGGACAATTCATTGGTAAACGTGACTTGATTAACATAATTTATGATTTCTATAAAACTAAGAATTATTTTCTTTTCCTTAAATATCATGAAAAAAAAATTTCATTAAAAGCGATAAGGAAACGAAAAAGCCCTCATCCCCTCATTCAGAGTATCCCTAATTTTTAACTGCCAGTTGAAAAACTTTATTGTAGTGCAGTTTCATACAATGATTTATTATTTGTTTGATATTTTGCTTATCGACCTCCTTTTGGTGCATGTGCAATTTACATAAACTGTAGAAAATTGGTAATTATCAATCTGCTTTTAGATTCAACCATAGCAATAATCATAATAGAAATGTAAATACAAGCTATAGCCTTGAAGTAAACAAAATAATCACAAAGAAGTATAAATTATAAATGGAAAGCAAGTCACTCCAGGTTATGTAAAATAAAATGTTTAATGTAATTTAAAGCCGATTTTTTTGCATTAGATTGATAGAAAATAGCCTTTAACGAGGGAATAAATTGAACAAATTATCAATACAATTCAATTCTAACATTGACGGGAGTTGTATAGCCGATACTATTTAAAGTTTATGTATCAATAACACATACTATTAGGTTTGTGAGAAACAGTATGAATTTGTTATCCCTCGTTTTGTTTACAAGCCTAAGGAATGATGTCTTTGCCGTTATTTACAAACTGATGTGTCAATTGTTTTAAAATCCCGAACAATTTCTTCATTGGGACACTGTTTTTAAAGGTTTTTTTCTTCAGATTTTTACTGTGAAAAAGTACTGTTCCCTATAAAACAGAGGAGTATATATTTATTTGTCACAAGGTACTCTTCACTAAACTGTAAGAATTAAAGAACAGCAATAAACATCATTTACATAGTTCACTGGGAAGTTCATGCTGATACTAATTAAATGCTGTAGATTAAGTTGCATATTGTTTACTTGAAACATTTAACTATAGTTATCTTTGGTTTATCACCATAAAGACCTTTGCTCTTTTTTACAAAAATATTTTCATTGGTCATATATCCAGTTTCGAACCGACAATAAATTAAGTGTCTAGCATACCTTAGAAAGAAAGAAAAAAATCTACGATGTAAAATGATTTTTATTAAACGTTTAAAAAAAGTTTATAAGTTTTGATACATTTTAGGCGTACATTTTTATTCAAATTTTAAAATTTTGGTTTTATATGATCAAATTAGTGATGTGTTATATCAATGGAAAGACTATTCAGAACTTGTTAGCCGATACGCTCGGTAATGTTATGCCTGTACCGTCTGTATGTTTTGCCCAGAAACAACCTAGTTAGTATCAGCAGTAGAAAAGTGCTGATAAGTCAGTTATATCTCACATAACATGTAGATTATTAGTTGATATTTGAAACATTTTACCTTTTCGGATGTTTTAATTTGTTCAAAATAGTTTGGTTTACCTATAATCCAGCTTTAATCTATCAAACATTCATATTGCAATGTCTTTTTTTAAGTCACTTGGCGACTTTTGCAAAATAATTGTATTTTACTAATTTTCTTATCTACGTTCTCTGTTTATTGAAAATAAACTTAAACAAACTCTTTAGAAATACTATTATAATTTTAAACTGTCATGCTCTTTATAATTATGATTTAAGATGCAGTTGTAAACTGCAAACTTGACTCAATATAGATTTTGCATGATTGAAAAGTGTATAAATGCCTACATAACAAGCTATATATAATACTCTGAAAATCATTAGTTTTTATTCTTGTGTATAGGAAAAGTTTTACGATCACCGTGAATAACCAATTGCGCCAACCAAAGTTCAACAAAAGCGTTGTCATGGAAATTGAAGATGAGAACAGCGCCCTGATTAAGTACATGGAAAAGGCAGTAAATCAACAGAATGGACTAATGGAAAAGTAATTTTCAATTAACTATTGTTAAAGAGTATAAAGCTTTTATATTTTTTTAAAGAAAATTCTTTTTTAATTTTGAAAAAAAGGACTGAATGCCCGAAATGAGAATATGTGCGTATATTTCTTCAAAAGCAAACAGTGCTAGCACAAAATCATAGCTTAACGGTTAAAACTGTACTACAATAGCAGCATTATATTTTTTGTTCCAGACCATTTTAATCTGTTTTCGTACACTATGCAGTTTTATTAAATATTCAAATCTTTTGAAAATAGACCATAAGACAATGGAAACAATATATTTTTACTGTTTATAAATTTATATAAAATATGTCTATATATATGGCTTTAAACCTTTCAAATCTTCTTTATTTTTTATTAATAAAAAACCCTTTTTCTTTTTTCAATTGATCAAAAATCTTTTATATGCAGTTATGCTAGACCTTAACTACTTAGCCAAAGACACCCTTAAATGGATAGTTATAATCCTGTAATAATTCCGTGAAGTATGATAAGGCACAATACAGCTGGTAGCTCAGTTTGTGATAATAAAATCCTTTTTATCAACTATTTCAGACTCAAAGCTACACAAATCTATTTATCTAATTCAGAAGGCGGAAAGTTTACGCAAACATTCATTGTGGTTGGGTCAACGGAACTTAACTCCACAACGTTTTTTCCTTTCATTTTATATATAATTCATTTACATGTACCCACTCCAATCATAAATGCTCCATAAACGTTTACTTTAAATGCTTGATTAGCTATTGTAGTTTCAGCAAACTAAAAATATACTGATTTGACAATATATTAATGAAAAAGGGAGTTCTTGAAAGACATTTGCTTTTTAACAATCTATTTTATCACAAGACCTTTTACAAAAAAGTCATGACACTTATTATAACTGCAGATTTACAGTGACATACTTCTCTGGTGGTTTGGGATATTTTATTGAAGCTATCAATGATGCAAAAGGAAACTGGTCAGTTGATGGATCCTTCTGGCAGATAAGAACAGAGTTAGGACGAGCAAACGTGGGTAAGGATAAAACATTTTACCGTTCATCTGTTATGCTTTACTTGCTCAATAATTTATTCACTTTTCCCACTTTAATAAATCTTTATAATAAGTTAATATGATAAAGTCAAGTTTCTTTTATAATTGCAAAATTGTTCGTACATAAAACAAGCCGATTCACAATACATGTATTTGATTATTTACTTGTTAGATATGACATGTAAGACCAATCTCTATCACGACTTATTTGGCAATATTGTTAATTTAGCTTCCCGACAAACTAAATAAAAAGCTTTAGAATACGCACTTAATCTGAAAGGTTATTTTAAGTTTTAATTTTAATTTTTAAACGAATGGCTAATTTTGCTGTTTTTATAGGCAATTGTTTTCTGTGTGACTAACACAGTAAGGGCTTTGTAGCATATTTTGACTGTTTATTTGATTATTTACGTGGAATGAAAGTACAGTTTTAAATGTGTCAATAACTCTTTTGTTCACTTGAAGATATTCATTTTTAATACATTTTCAAAATTGCCATGATGGAAATAGGTATGAATCTTGAGGCATGCTACTTTAATATATTTTATTTATTATCGTATATATTAATAACAAATCCTGTTGTGACATATGCTTCTATCCAGGGCAAAAACCGTGCATTAAAATGTTTGAAGAGGGATAAATAACGTAAAACTCTAAGAAATGAACAAAATTTAAAATGTTAAGGCAAATATCCTTTGCGCCAATTTTAACATAGTAAGACATGGAAGTTGTTTTAGATACGCATTTTGCTAAATGAAAAGTTAATATGATTTCTATCAAAATGGCGCTTTACGAACCAATGTCTCATCTATATGCACATAATGCATTTGATATGAATGTTGTTTTCGTTTCAGGTATAAGTTCTCTCATACCCAAAGACGGGATGAAGGTTCTGCTGGACCTCATAATAAGCGGCCCTGATGACAAGTGCGAATAGTTCTGCAATTGTATTATGTATTTGCAATTGCATTGCATAGCAGACAATGAATTATATAATATGGTGTTTGCATTTGTATTGTATTGTGTATAATATAGAATTGTTTAAGAAATTACAATGAAGAAAAAAACTCTAGTGGTAAATGTATAAGATCTTTTGCAGCAATATAAAAATACATAATTTTATTATTGTCAACATTTGTTAGGGAGAGGGAAAAAATATATTTTCAGAAAATGAATTACCTTGATCAAATTTAGGAAATATAACTTTATGACTGCCACGTTTTATACACTTTCTATGTTATATAATTATTGTTACAGATAACATTTCAAAACAACGTGTCATTATTTGATATCTTAATTATTAAATTATGTAAGATACTGATTATATATACTGGTAATTATTTTGTTTTTGTGAACATACGAGTTATGTACGTCACAAAAATATTTTGTACAGTCAAAAATAATTTATAAAACCTAATGACAAGCTTTGTAGTTTAACGATTATTCGTCCCTTTAAAGTCTTATCAAGTCGAGAACGTTGTTTGAAGTCCACTTTGTTTCTAGCGTTATGTCCTTATAAATGATTTTTTTACTTTTGGTGAGCAATTCTTTTTGTACACCCTTTTAATCCAATCATCTTTCACAAATTATCAAAGTATTATGGGGTAGTAAAATTCAAAAAACTTTAAATATATCCGATATTACATAGCGAGCTATAGAATGGCCGTTTGTCCATGTCTACAAGTTGTTCCTACAATGCTTATGTTCGGTGGAGGAATCTTCTGTTACACTCTTATTCCTTATTTGTTTCATAACGTTTTATCATCATTTATACGGACTATATAATCCATACTATCTTTATAAGCTTTCTACATTGAAGCTATTGCATTGAAAATTTTGTAAATGAGCCGCGAATTGTTACTACAGGTCTTATTTTATCAAACTTTGTCTCAAGTTCATACATGTACTTGATTGTTTCAAGATAATCCACTTTATCTACTCCAACGTTGATAAGAAAATTAATTTTTTAGATGAATATTCATATGGATGGAATACTTTAATTGATAAAACTCAATTTATTCAAAGACGGATTTTTAATATACTTGTCATAAAACGGGATTAGTATTCTAGTATTCTAAGTCTGCAAACTCAGAAAAAAAGAATGAATAAACAATTTTCAACTGCATAACTATAACAGAACGCACAAACACAAAGTAAAAGAAGATGTTAATCTGACAGAAGAGATAATGTTACATCTAAGGATAGAAAGACAGTATAGGCATACACATTTAATAATTGTCATTGTTGTATAGATATTTGCTGATATTTTTATAAGATGAATATGCTAATAGTTAGCCAATTTAACCTGGCATTTTATCAATTTTGTATTAAATTTGGCTGTAATACCAATGTAGAACTGTATAATTTTTAGAATACTTCAAAATGTGCACCATCTACAAACTTTTTCACCATCAAAATCTATTCCGAAAAAGCGTTTTTGAACTGTACTTTGGGTTAACTATTTACTAGTATACACTGGTAGTGAACGCTTCCGACGGCACTAGGGTATCAAGACCACAAAAGCAAGATTTGATGTATGGATTTAATCAAAAGTCACAAGAAGAGAGGCCAAGATTTAAGCAGGATGTAGCAAAACTGCAAGTCTCTGCTCCTCTAAATTGCCTTGAACCAAGTTTGACCGGTGCGCATGTGCATTATCATGGAGTTGTTATTGATTTTGCGCACCTAGGACCTTAGGTCCTTTGTAAAGTAGTGATTTACTTCGGCAGTGAGAACAAGGTCACGGTAAAACTTCCAGTGACCCCTCTCAGGCACAGCGACATGGGCCACTATATCATCACTATAAAGAAAGAGAATTTTATTACTTAATTTATTGTCGAGCTCAAAAAGATTAAACCACGTTTTATCCCCTGTGATCAATTCTCCCAAGCGTCTAGGGTCTCGATCTTTGAACCTAGTCAATAAGGCCAAGGCTTTTTCAACCCACTCCCGTTTTCGGTCAGAATTAACCATATGCTGGATTCAACGGGCGCATTCTTTCCTTCACTTTAACTCTCTTTTAAGATGCAAAACAGATATGACACACTAAGGCCCGTTCCAAAGATGCAAGCAATAATTGTCATCTATGCTAAAGTACATCCAACAACAGCTCCTTAAACTAGCCACTTCTTATGATTTAAACCTAAATAGTCTTAGACTAACAAATCTGTAATGTTATATGCCCTTGAAATCGTGCTGGGATACATTTCTAAGTTTCTTACCATCATATTGTATACATGTCTAATATATTTTCTGCATTTGTATTCTAATTTTTTATACTCTTGCTATACATATCTATTTGTAATTAAATTTTTACGACTTAATTTTCCATATAAGAAATATTATTATATATTAGTCTGGGTTTGGATAGCTGTTTACAATATTGAAAATTTATTCTTTCTACAGCAGTTGTTTCTCTGAATCCCGATATTTGACATTCATAGCTTAATACAGGAACAACTCGCATAAAAAGTAATAAAAAGAAATGCTTAACATCAACATAAGTGCATTTATCTAAATAAGACTTGAGTTTGATATGGCCTGGCTGGCAAATGCCTCGTGCGTTACGGTAAACGAAACACCTGTGGTACATATACTTTCAAGCCGATAGAATACCTGAACTATACGAATTATTGTCACAACAAATTATTAAAAGTAACTGTAGAATTTAGAGGACACGAAAAGCGTAATATAGAGAAAAATCGTTTAAACATATTTTTAAAATATATACATCCATAGGGAATAATTTTGTGCTGAGAGACTTAAAATAAGTGAGGTAAGTAAGTAAGTTTTAATTTTCTCTTCCGATTAACTGATATCAAAGTAGTAATAGTAACTGAATTCAGACCTGGAAGACAGTATGATAAATAATTTTGAAACATCTAAAGGGTCTCTTTATTAATTATACCCCCCCCCCAAAAAAAAAATAAATAAAAAAAATAATAATAATAACGGGAAAAACCCCCGAAAAAATGAGGTCGACTAAATTCAAAGTCCTAGTAGAGACTTGGGACCTGTTTTGCTAGGAAGGTAATCTTATTAAAATTTATTTACTTCATATAGTCGTCTATCTTAAACCATTACACGATATACACCCCTTTTTAACGCCTTTTTCACCGGCCCCCTTTTTTGCTGTTTCAATTTATGAAAACAATGCCTTATTTTGGCCTCCAACACTTGTTTTTATTTGAGAAATATTGTTAAAAAAGTGACCACTTTTTCGGCGCGGCTGCCTATCCAAAGATACATCAGGAGATTTCCAGAAGGGGGTGTGTTTGGGGGTTTGAAAGGGAGCGGCAATCCGCCTCATCGTCAAAAAACTTTTGGACTTGTGAGAGGCTAAAATGACCCCAGATCGATCATAAGGTAACGTGCAACCAACGCTGAAAAGCCTTTGATATTAACTCAATCCATATGATAAGTAAAATAAATTTTGATGGAAACAAATCAACCCAAAATAGTAATTTTCAGCAAATTTGAGATGTCCCCTCGTTGCCATGGTATAAGGAAATTTAAGACTGAACACGTTGTTACAAATTCAATGGTCCAGTCAACATTTGTGCCAAGTTTGATTACTACTGAAGCAGATTTTATAGTTTTATAGCAATTTGAACTTGTGACTGGAGACTTTTCAATGAAAACAGCTATTTTTTCACAAAAAATGCTCATGCAGTAATGGGTTAACTGTTAAGTCTGCTGGCTCATTGTGATTTGGTGCGTCTCATCAAATCGTAAACTGAATTAATCAATAAATTTCAATATCAAAATCATTCTAAACAAATAGCAAATTTAAAGCATAAAGAAATACCTTTGTTTGGTAGTAGGCCTAACGATACTAAATAAACATTTCACTCTTATTATGAAACTAGTTCCTGCTTAACTATTATAAATTTTACAGATGAATGTCAAAAAAGGATGGTTGCAACCTATAAGTTTCTTTATATTGACCTACATACTAGATGCACTGCCTTAAAACCGGCGGCAGCAAATTTTGTCTCAGAAATAACTACATTTTTTTATTTCTTAGAAAGAGCAAACATATGAATTTTAAAACGTGTAAATAAAAGTTTTATAGTATGCTAGATGTTTATTACCGAAAGAAAGTAGAACTGCATGTGAAATTACTTGCTACTCGCCAGTAAGTTAGCAAAATGTAAACATAGTTACTCTCTAGTATTTTGACTTCTATACAAACTACTAAATCACAATAAGTGTACTACTTGCCAAAAAAGCAACAGAAGCAAAGGACATGGCTCGGGTAAAGTATATTTTTGGAAACTTAACAGGACAACAAAAATCATAAAATTCTGAGAAATAAGAATAAAAGCATTTCTGGGGCATAATTAGCTATTAAATATGCATTTGTTTTTACTACTTTATACAATTTTTATTGAAATATTGAAGTTTTTCCGAATGAATTAAACAAAACAAGGAAGCTTTGTTGTTTTGACAAAAATATTTATCCTATACCGACAGTAATAAATAACAGTTATTAAAAAGTTCTTTTTTTCTGCACTTAATACTAATTGTAGTTACTAATGATATGGGTATTGAACATTTTCTATGGGTATGGCAAATCTTTTCATTATCAAAAACTAAAGCTATTGAGTTCTTTGGAACAATTATAATTACTTTGACACAAATCCTTGTTAAAATATATACTTGACATAGCAAGTTCTATTTCTACAGGCTTTGCCATGACTCAGGCTAAATATATCCTTTCAAGCAAGTTTTGAAGTAACAATGACCTATACGAAAACCCATTTTGACGTTTTCAACTAAGTGGGGTCACTTTTTTAATACTGTTTTAGTGTCCTAAATGGTTATGACTGGCAAATAAAAGTCATAAAATATATTTAAAATTTTAAAAGAAATGGACCAAATAATACATCTTAATTGCACGAGACTTGAAGCTGTCTTTAAATCACCATTTTGAGATTATAAAAACATTTGCCATTTCAAAGCAGAGAATAGAACGTGCCCCCACAATACTTCAGTGGCATCGCTCCTTTGATGTCCATTAAACGAGTTCAAATGTTTTTCTTTTGTCTGTGTTTTTCCTTGCTGTACCGACCATCGATCATGTTTCTACCGCCACAAAACGCAAAATGCCACTTGAATATTGAAGGTTATTTGACACACCCATTAAACTAAATAAAGTTAGTTCAAGAGTGTTTTTTTTTAGAAAAATTAGTATGATTTGAATTATTGATATTACGATATCCCTGATTGTTTTCCTAAAACATATCGATCTACCGTAGCTAAATATCAACTACTTCCTGATAAACGTTTAGTTGTTATTCTATTAGACCGATTATGTTGTGGTGTACATACAGGCGCATCTCAGTTTATAACCATTAGAAAAAAATACCATAAAAGGTTAGTTTAAATGGTTATTTAAAATTCATGTTTAAAAAAAAAAAGAAACTGACATAGGAAACAGTTGCTGGTGATGAGCAATTGATCAAAATATTGTTTGAACTGTTTCCGTTTCCTTTTAGCCAGTTTGGATATTTATTGGGGATGCGCAAGTGAATAGTACAAATAACATTGTGTCTTTTGAAGATAGGTACAATGTATAAATTATGTATATCTAAACCATTACTCATTTTTCTGATGATATTGTTTTATTGTATCTTAAAAAACCTCTTTAGCAAATTTGTTGTTATTATCAATAAACATTTCAGATCTTAACAAATTTACCAAGGGACGGAGACATGGCTTCCAAACCTTTAAAAATATCTAAAGATACTGCTGATGAAAGTGAATCTACAAAGAAGTTAGTTTATTATTTCATTTACTTTCATTTCTCCAGCCAAATTAAAGGAGAAAAATATAGTATGTCCGCTTATTGTCGAGGTAATAGGTACAATATGATGGGGCCTCAATCAATCAACTATTTTACCTTAGTTTCAGGTATTCGAAAAACTGCTATATGTCGCAAACACGGCAAACTAGCTGACGGATCATTATGATTTGGACAATACATTGATATATGTAATTTTATTAACATAAGTTGGATTTTCTTTAAAATAAAGAACCATTTTTTTCCTTTAAATATCATGTAAAGAATTTTCAAAAATAGCAATATGAAAAGGGAAAAGGAACCCCCTCCTCATTTCAGAATACTCCTAATAAATAACTGCCAGTTGAAAAACTTTATTCAAGTGTGAAGTTTTATACGACATTGATTTATTTTTTGTATAATACTTGCCCATCGATCTCATTTTGGTGTACATGCAATTTACATAAACTTTAGAAAACAAGTCATAATCAATATGCTTTTTTCTATCAAGTTACTATCCAAAAATAGAATATTAAACTATAATTATATATACAATAAGAATAATAATGTCAATACGAGTTATAGCTACGAAGTAAACAAAATGTATCACAAAGTAGTATAAATTAGAGAGCAAGTATCTCCAGGGTTTATTTAATTTAATGTTTTAATGTAATTTAAAGCTGTTTTTAATTGGCATAAGATTATGAAAATATCCCTCAACGCGCGGATAAATTGAACAAAATATCAATACAATTCCATTCCAACATTGACGGGATTTTTGAAAAGTTGTATAGCCGATATTATTCAAAGTTAATAAATAAATAACACAAAGGTTTGTGAAAAACAGTATAAATATATTATCCCTCGTTTTGTTTACAAGCCTTTTATATTTGCTGTTATTTACAAACCGATATGTCAGGTATTTTAATATCCCGAACGAATTCTTTATTGAGATACTGTTTTCTTAAGGTTTTTCGTTTTCAGAATTTACTGTCAAAAGTACTGTTCCCTATGAATAGTACAGAATGATAAGTCACAAAGAACTATTAACTTAACTGTAAGAATAACGCACATTGATCCAAAATGAATTATTATAAAGTCTGCATAATTCCTGAAACGTTTCATGACTCCGGGTCAATCTGAACACATGCAAAAGCAAACCCCCAGGTGCACATTTTTACATGCTGATCATCATTCCTCTAAAGTTATTTACGAGCTAACTTAAGAGCTACACATGACACAACATGAGAACGCACGCACGAATCTAAATGCCCTCTTTCACAGTGGGGGCCCAAAACAGCAATAATTATTTATCATTTACATAGTTTACTGAGATGTTAATGATGATGTTTTAAGCGATACTAATCCAAATAGTGTAGATATTGGTGTAGATATTGTTGCATATTGTTAAACTGAAACAGTTTACTAATATGTTTGTTTTATTATCATAAATATTTTCCCTGTTTCACAAAACAATTTTCATTTGATATATTTTCAGTTTCGAACATATAATGAAATATCTAGGACACTATTAAAAGAATGATATAAAACTACATTGTACAATTAACCTTAAAGCCAACTCGCTAAGTTATCAAACATTTCCTCAAACTTTATCAAAGTTTTCAAATATTGGTTTTAAATGATCAAATTAGTGATGTATTATGTCAATAGAAAGAACATTCAGAACTTGTTCGCCAATATGCCCGGCAAAATAATGCCTATACCGTCTTTATGTTTTGCCAAGGAGCAACCAAGTTAGAATCAGCAGTAGAGCAATGCTGATAAGTAAAGCAAAATAAGCCAGTAATCGCACATAACATGTAGATTATTACTAGAATCTTTTTACCTTTTCCAAAGTTTGAATTTTTTTTTAAATAGTTTGGTTTACCTTTAATAAAGCTTTAATCTATCAAACGTTTATATTACATTGTCTGTCTTTAAGTCACTTGACGACATTTGCAAAATAATTGTGTTTTAGTAATTTACTTATCTTCGTTCTATGTTTATTAAAAATAAACTTAAACAGTCAAGCTCTTAATAATACTTATGATTTTAGACGCATCAAATTTAAACTGCTTATTTGATTCAATATAGATTTTGTATGATTGGAAAATGTATAAACATTTAATGTCTTTTTTACAAACTATACTCTGAAAATCAACTTCTTTTATTCTTGTGTAAAGGAAAAGTTTCACATTCACCGTGAATTATCCATTGCGCGAACCAACGTTCGACAAAAGTGTTCTCATGGAAATCGAAAATGAAAAGAGTCCCCTGATTGAGTACATGAAAAAGGCAGTTGATGAACAGAATGGACTTATGGAAAAGTATACTTCAATTTATCTATTAAATTTAGAGTGTTTATCTATATATATGCAGCAAAACGCTTTATTTTTTAATTTTGAAAAATATATAATACTTTTAAAATGCCTGTTTGTATTAATCTTTAAAAGCGAATTTTGCAAAAACGGAAGTTATTGCTGAACGGCTACAACCCTACTAAAAGCAGCTGCATAATATTTTGTTCCAGAACAGTTTATTCTGTTGTCGTACAATATGCATGAATGTGAAAGAAAGTACATTTTATTTTACAAATGTTTTCTGAATCAACCATAAAGCTATGGAAATATATAATTTTACTGTTAATAAATTTATAAATATTTCAATATGTACGGCTTTAAACTCTTTAAAACATCTGATATATATTTTTGAATAAAAAATTTATTATTAATAACAAATTGCTGCTATTTAGTAGGGGTTTTCCCCTATTATTCATTAATTCTTTATTGGAATAACTATTAATGAATTTTGATTCAAGTTGTCAAAATACTTTCACTCAAGAGCAAATTTCGAATTGCACAATAACAAAAAAAAACAACAAAAAAACATATGTATAATTTAAATATATCAAAAATCTGAATCAATTGCAAATTGAGTAGTTCTGAAAGGTAAGGTTTGTAATAAAGAGCAACAATTATCTGTTCGAGAAAGAATTCAATATTTACTGTAAATCTGCTAGAAATATTATTCTTTGATCGTGTTTGATTTTAGTCTCACTTGCAAAATAAAGATCATATTGGGACTTTACAGCTTTACTAGTCATAAATTATTTCAGGCCGAGTAGTACCACTGACGTTACATAAGCTATTTAATTCTTTAAATGAAAACATCCTGGCGGGATTTGAACCAAAATAGGTGAAAGGGCTAGTAATATGAAGTCAACGACTTTAACCAATTGACCTTGGACACCCCTAAATGGATAGTAATTCTTTTGACAATGAAGTTTGATAAGGCTCAACACTTCTCAGTATTTATGTTTGTAACAATGAAATACCTTAATTTCTTAATTAATTATTTTTTTCGGATTTAAAGCTTGACAAATTTTTCTAATTGAGCAGGTGGAAAGTTTACGCGAACAATTATTGTGGCCGAGTCATCGGAACCTAATCTCACGCTCGCTCAATGTTCATTTTCTTGTCCTTTTTATTCATAATTCGTACGTCCTTATCATCTAATGATCTTTTAACGTTTCATCCAAATACTTCTTTAGTTTTTGTAGGTTCAGCAAACTAAAAACAAGCTGATTATATTTGTGTAAATAGGAAAAGGGAGTTCAATGTACTTGAAAGAATTTTGCGTTTTAACAATTTGTTTTATTTCATAACATTTTACGAGCAAGACATGAAAATTGATTATAACAGACAGAAAAAATCTTTTAGATTTACAGTGAAATATCTCTTGAGTCGGGGATATGTCATTGAAGCTATATTCAAAAATGAAAGGGAATTCTATTCGAAAAATGAATCATCCTGGGAGATAAGAACTGAGCCAGAACTAACGGAAAGGGGTAAGGTTCAAAACAAACATAAAACATGTTGTATTTTTAACATCGTCACATAAAAAAACCAAAGCTAAAGAATAAAAGAACTAAATTTTAATTTTGCAGTACTAGTGACGATCATTTTACTGCAAGATAAACGCAGTTAGGGCTTTTTAGCAAATTTTCACCTTTATTTGTTTATGTACGTGGTTTTAAGTGCAGTTTGCATGTGTAAATAAATTTTTGTTCACTTTAAAATAAATTACTTTTTGTTTTCAAAGTTTTCATGCAAATTAGCAAAAATCTGGATAAATAAATATATATTTTATAATAAAAACATGTTTTAAAAACAAATCCAGATATAAAATATGCTCTGCCGACGCAAAACCGTGCATAAAATTGTTTGAAGAGAGATTAATAGCGTATCACAGTTAGAATTAAACAGAAAGTAAAAATGTGATGGCAAATTTTCTATAACATATTGTCATAAAAATTGTTCCAAATACAAATGTATGCATATGCTCAAAAATAAGTTAATAGCAATTCACATTTGTTTATCAAAATGGCGCTTTACGAACCAATGTCATCTACATGCACATATTGCATTTGATATATTAAGTGATGCATTTGTTTTCGTTCTAGGTATAAGTAATTTAATACCCGAAGACGGGATGAAGGTTCTGCTGGAGCTCATACAGTGAAATCAGCCGTCATGATGACCAGTGCGAATAGTTCGGCAATTGTATTATGTATTTGCAATTGCATTGTACAGCAGACAATAAATTGCATAATATCGTGTTTGTATTTGTAAAGTATTGTTTATAATATAGTATTGTGTATTGTTTAGTAAACTAGAAACTTGAATATTTGATTAAGGCCTATGTCAACGTACAAAACATATGTGCATGTATTGCACAGCAAATATAGCATTGATGACTGTATAATTATCGCGTTTGATTTTTTTATTGCATTGTTTATAATATTGTGTTGTTACAATAGTTCATTTAAGCAATATCTATTTTAATCTAAGAACATAAATTAAATACCATCAAATGTATAAAAGTACTAGCATATAATTTCAGAAGAGAAAGGTGGTATCTGTGTAAAAGCTATCCTCTTGATAAAAATTGTTGGTGTAATATAGAAAATATACATCTGTCCAAAAATAAAAGCTGAATGGGCGGCAAACGGTAAAAATAATCTTAAGTACTAATGATCTTGATCCAGCTGACCCCAAACTCAATCCAAAAAAATCCTTTCAAATATGAAATACATAAAAAATAAAGGCTGTTTTAGCAAATGTGTGCAAGTCTATTATTAGCACACTTGACATTGACCCACTGATGCCTTACTCAATAGAAAGGGAGACCATCATGAAAGTTATCTTCCTTCCAAATATGAAACTTTTCTCCATAAATAAAGGTCTTATGGGCAAAAGTGTAAAAATCTATTTTAATTACTTGTGACCTTCAGTTGACCAAATCGACCCCTTACTAAATCCAAAAGAAAAAGACGATACAAATTATTATCCTACAAAATAAAAAAATCACCAGTCATAAAATAAAGGCTGTATAAACAAATTTTTAGACATGCATAATTGGCATCATTTACATTGACCCACTGACCCCTACCTCAATCAAAACAAAGAATATCATGCAAGTTATGAAACCCATCTGTTGAAAAATAAAAATTGTGTTGGCAAAAGTATAAAAAAACACATTTTTTAGTACAGTGATCTTGATCAAGGAAGAATGCTACAGAGATTTAGCCGGGTTTAGTTTGAAAGAACAAATCTCACTATATCCCTAACAAGAGCTGAAACAGTACATGTATATACTGTAAGCGAAAACATGTAAACAGTTTTAGTGCGATGTGTCATTTAAAACGTATCATCATACTTGTATTCTTAACTGAGCATGACGTGTAAACTAAATCTCGCAAAAATGTAATCAGCCATATTTCGATTTGTAAACTTAATCACACTAACATGAACGGAAAACGAATAAATGTAACTTGTCGAAGGATGATGTTTAAACTAAATCATGTAATCATGCACAGCCCCCAAAAGCATGTACATTTAAAGAGTCTGAGTGCAATGTGTTAGCAATGTGTTGGCACTATCTCTATTTGAAATTTTTATATTAGACAAAAGTCATTGTTTTTAAAGGTATTTATTCACAATTTTCATAGGTGTTTTTTTAATTAGGAGGACAGGACTTTAGATCGAGTATTTAAATGAAAAACGTGGTGCTCTAGCTTAAATAAAATAGTAATCCCACTTTATATTAATCATAATTAATAATAATCTTTAAATATAATTGTAGTTATATTTTCCTAATATATATTTATATAGATAAAACATAAGGAAGGAAAAAAACAATTTTAACAGAATACCTTTTTGTCGCTGATTCTCCGCCAGGCTCAGTGTGAGTGCCAGTACTAGTTTTGTTAAATTTAAAATTTTCAACATTGATAATTACTTCATTGTACGCGCGTATAACGAAAACACCGTCAACAGCGTTTCTTTTTATTGGCAAATGATACATTAACAAATACAGATAATAAGAATGAATAAACAATATTCAACTGCATTAATATAACAGAACGCACAAACACAAAGGAAAAGAAGACGTTGATCTGACAGAAGAGATAATGTTACATCTAAGGATAGAAAGACAGCAGAAGAGGCATAAACATTTCATAATTGTCATCGTTATAGATATTTGCTGAAATTTTATAAGATAATTATGCTAATAGTTAGCAAATTTAACCTGGTATTTTATCAATTTTGTATAAATTTTGGGTGTAATACCGATGTAAATGTTAATTATAAGGAAATACTCAAAAGTGATCATGGAATTACAAATTTTTTACCCTCAGAATCTATTCCGGGAAAAACTTATTGAACGTGCTTTGGGGTTTAACTATTAAAACACTGGTATGGAAGCTTTTGACCGGGACTTAGGATCGAATTGCGACCAAAGGGAATGTTCGGTTACCCATCTAGAAAAAGGAAAGGTCCATAAATTTTATACTCTAGAAAAAGAAAAATTATATTTTTAACGCTCCTGCTAGTGAGCAAAAAAGGGGGGGATGCTGTTTTCACCTACCCCATTTTAGTTTTTTTTTTCGGGCTCAAAAAAAAAATAAAATAAAGCCAGTTTTAACCCTTTAAAAATTTTCTTAGGTGCTATTGTATGATTTGAGCTAGTCAAAAAGGCCCAGGGTTTTTTTTAACCCCCCCTTTTGGCAGAATAAAAATATGGGGATCCAAAAAGGGGCACATTTCCCATTTATATTTCTTTTAAAATGGAAAAAAATATGAACACCAAGGACGATTTACTTATTCCCCCACTGCAAAACTTGCATTGGCATAACTTGGTTTGACAACTGATTTTTTTTTTTAAGGGGGTGGGGATATTTGGGGAGCTTATTAACATTAGTTTACCATCCTAAAATTTGGATTCTTACATTGAAGATAAAATGGGGAAATTTTTTATAAAATAAAAATTTGATCCGTTTTTTTTTCTGACGCGCATTTACCATTAACCTTACGAATTTTTTCAATAAGCCCTGCCCCCTATCAAAAATTTAAAAGCAACTCAGCCATGCTTACAACCAGTATACAAACCTCAATCTTTCCAACGGTATGTTATACATGTACTTTCACATCATGGTTAATTAAATAGTTGCCTCTAATTAGAATATGCCCCACGTACAATTATTTGCAATACATATTAATGGCATGATGCACATATAAAAGGTCTATCACAAAGCCAACTCTTAAATATAATAACAGATTTAATATATGATATACATGATATACATGAGGTCAGGGTTACCGTTAAAAAAGTACAATGTCTCTTTTTATTAAAACTTTTGAGATGTTCGTAATTTTTATAATTCCTTAATATAGCTGATATCTAAACCATTAAAAATATATAAACTGTTTTTTTGTAAAATTTCTAAATTGAGCCTTCCAAAGATGCAAGCAATAATCGTCATCTATGCTAAAATACATCCAAAAACTAGCCACTTCTTTATGATTTTGCTATACTTATGAACCTATATGTAATTAAATCTTTACGACTTAGTATTAGACCAAATCATTTTGGGTTTGGGTAGCTGTTTACATTATTGTAAATGTATTCTGTCCATAGCATTTGTTTCTCTGAATCCCGATATTTGACATTCATAACAAATAGCATAAAAACTAATAAAAAGAAATGCTTAACATCAATATAAGTGAATTTATTTTAATAAAACTTGAGTTTAATATGGCCTGGTTGGCAAATGCCTCATGCGTTAAGGTTCACGAAACACCTGTGGTACATGTAATACCTTAATACGAAAGTGTTAATTTTATATGTAAAATAAATATTTCTTTTGCCCTTCTGCCACCATTTTTAAAAACCATAACCGTTTTTAACATTTACTGTTACTTTCAATTTCAGCAATCAAACAAGAAATCCTAACCTTTATGTAAACTCGTTTCCTTTCAGCAAAATTATCAATATCATCAGTATTTGTCATAGGAAGAGAGTTTAAACATGTCTAGCTTTACAAATACATGTTATATGAATTGTTCCTCAATGTCCTTTATTGATCTAATAACGTCAAATATTTTTCCTCTAACGCACAAACTTATCAATTCAAATCATATTGTATTACATACCACAAAATCAAATGCATTGGTAAAATCTATCAAGGCAAAAAAGTTGTTATTTATTTAAAATGTATAGGACATGAATATACACGTCATAATATCCCATACATAATTATTTTTCACAGTTTAATATCTTATATACTTTAAAAGCCAATAGAATACCTGAACTATACGAATTATTGTCACAACAAATTTTTAAAGGTAACTGTATAATTTAGAGGACACGAAAAGTGTAATATAGAGAAAAAATCATTTTAAACATATTTTCAAAATATATTCATCCCTAGGGAATAATTTTATGCTGAGAGACTTAAAATAAGTGAGGTAAGTAAGTTTGCATTTTCCACTAAAATATTCGCGAGTCTCAATTTCTCTTCCGATTAACTGATACCATAGTAAGATAAGTAACTGAATTCAGACCTGAAAGACAGGGTGAAACACCTTAAGAGTCTCTATATTAATTATAAAATACCCCCCCCCCCGCCACAAAAAAAAATATAAAATAAAAAAAATAGGTCAACAAAATAAAATTGAAAGTCCTAGTAGAGATTCGGGACCTGTTTCGCTAGGAAGGTAATCTTATTAAAATTTATTTACATCATATAGTCCTTTATCTTAACCCATTACACAATATACACGCATTTTAACGCCTTTTTACCCGCCTCCCTTTTCGCTGTCTCAAATGGTGAAAAAATGCCTTATTTAGGCCTCCAACACTTGTTTTGTTTGAGAAATGTTGTTTAAAAAAGTGACCACTTTTCCGGCGTGGCTCCCTATTCAAAAGATACATCAGGCGGTTTCCAGAAGGGGGATGTGCCCCCTTCTGTTCGGGGCTTTGGAGAGCGGTAGTCCCCGTCATCGCCAAGAAAATTTGGACTTGTGAGAGGCTACAAATGACCACAGATCGATCATAAATTAACTTGTAACCAACGCTGAAAAGCCGTTGACTCTATCTCAATCCATTGAGAAGTTGCAGCACTTTAAAATTAATTTTGATGGAAAAAAATCAACGCAAAATAGTGATTTTCGGCAATTTTGAGATGTCCCCTCGTTGCCATGGCAACAGGAAATTTAAAACTGAGCACGTTGTTACAAAGTCAATGGTCCAGTTAACATTTGTGCCAAGTTTGATTACTATTGAAGCAGATTTTTTAGTTTTATAGCAATTTGAACTTGTAACGGGAGACTTTTCAATGAAAACAGCTATTTTTCACAAAAAATGCTCATGCAGTAATGGATTAACTGTTTGGTCTGCTGGCTCATTGTGATTTGGCGCGTCTCTTTAAATCGTGAACCGAATCAATCAATAAATTTCAATTTCAAAATCATTCTTAACATATAGCAAATTTAAAGCATTACAAAATAACAATGTTTTGTAGTAGGCTTGACGATACTTAATTAACATTTTTTCTTGTTATAAAACTAGTTCCTGCTTATATAATTCTTATAAATTTTACAGATGAATGTCAAAAAGTTATAGGATGGTTGCAACTTATAAGTTTCTTTATATTAACCAGATGCACTGCCTTAGAAACCGGCGGCAAATTTTGTCTCAGAAATAACTACATTTTTTTATTTCTTAGAAAGAGCAAATATGAATTTTAAAACGTGTAAATAAAAGTTTTGTAGTATGCTAGATGCTAATTACCGAAAGAAAGTAGAACTGCATGTGAAATTACTTGCTACTCTCCAGTAAGTTAGCAAAATGTAAACATAGTCACTTTCTAGTATTTTGACTTCTATACAAACTAGTAAATCACAATAAGTGTACTACTTGCCAAAAAAAAAAAAAAAAAAAAAAAAAAAAAAAAAAAAAAAAAAAGCAACAGAAGCAAAGGACATGACTCGGGTAAAGTATATTTTTGGAAACTTAATAGGACAACAAAAATAACAAAATTCTGAGAAATAAGTATAAAAGCATTTCTGGGGCATAATTGGCTTTTAAATATGCATTTGTTTTTACTACTTTATACATTTTTTATTGAATTATTGAGGTTTTTTCCGAATGACTTAAACAAGACACGGAAGCTTTGTTGTTTTGACAAAAATATTTATCATCCTATACCGACAGTGATAAATAACAGTTATTAAAAAGTTCTTTTGTCTGCACTAAATACTAATTGTAGTTACTAATGATATGGGTATTGAACATTTTCTATGGGTATGGCAAATCTTTTCATTATCAAAAACTAAAGCTATTTAGATCTTTGGAACAATTATAATTACTTTGACACAAATCCTTGTTAAAATATATACTTGACATAGCAAGTTCTATTTCTACAGGCTTTGCCATGACTCAGGTTAAATATCTCCTTTCAAGCAAGTTTTGATGTAAAAATGGCCAATACAAAAACCCATTTTGACGTTTTCAACTAAGTGGGTCACTTTTTAATACTGTTTAAGTGTCCTAAAATAGTAATGAATGGCAAATAAAAAACATAAAATCTATTTAAGATTTAAAAAGAAATGGGCCAAATAATACATCTTAATTGCACAAGACTTGACTTTAAGCTGTCTTTAAATCACCATTTTGAGATTATAAAAACATTTGCCATTTTAAAGCAGAGAATAGTCTGTGCCCCCACAATACTTCAGTGGTATCGATTGTTTGTTGTCCCACCGAGCATGTTCCTTCGGCCACGGACGCCCATCAACAGTTTAAAGCTCTATAAGTTTATAAAAATGCAAACTGCCACTTAAATTGTGAATGTTATTTGACACACTGATTAAACTAAATAAAGTTAGTTCAAGAGTTTTTTTTATAGAAAATAAGTATAATTTAAATTGTTGGGATTAAGATACCCTAATTGTTTTCATAAAACATATCGATCTACCGTACCTAAATATCAAATACTTCCGGATAAACGTTTAGTTGTTATTATATCAGACCGATTAGGTGGTGGACATACATGCGTTTGCCAGTTCATAACCATTAGAAAAACTCATAACCATAAAAGGTTAGTTTAAATATATTTTCAAGCTCTCGTTAAAAAAAAACTGACATAGGAAACAGTTGTTTGTGATGTGCAATTGATTAAAGTTTTTTTTAACTGTTTCTGTTTCGTTTTAGCCGGTTTGGATATTTATTGGTCTTTTTGAGAGAGGATGCGCCAGTGTTGTTTTTTGAAAAGTACAATCAAGATTGTGTTTTTGGAAGATAAGTACAATGTACAATATTTCGAACTATAACACATTTTTTCTGATAATATTATGTATTATTTTATTTTAAAATATCTCTTTAGCAAATATGTTTTTTTATTATAAAAAGACATTTCAGATCTTAACAAATTTACCAAGGGACGGAGACATGGCTTCCAAACCTTTAAAACCAAGCACATCTACAGATAATGCAGATGGAAGCGACTCTAAAAAGAAGTAAGTTTATTATTTTATTTGTCTTATTTTATTTCTCTAGCCAAATAAATAGAGAGAAACAAAAAGAGAAAAAATACACTTATAGTCGAGGTAATTGATAAAATATGATTGGGCATCCATCAATCAACTATTTTACCTTACATGTATTCGAAATACTGATATATGCCGCAAACACGGCAAACTAGCTTGACGGATAATTATGATATGAACAAATCATTGGTTGTAACATAATTTATGCTTTTCTATAAAATAAAGAATCATTTTCTCTTCTTTAAATATCATGTAAAGAATTTTCATTAAATGCGATATGAAAAAGCCACCCCCCTCATTTTAGAATACCCCTAATAAATAACTGCCAGTTGACAAAACTTTATTGTAGTGCAGTTTTATATATTAATTTATTATTTGTTTGATATTTGCTTACCGATCTCCTTTTGGTGTATGCGCAATTAATATAAACTTTAGAAAGTATGTCATAATCATTTAGCTTTTAGATTCCAAAAATAGATTATTAAACCATAACAACAATCATAATGAAAAATGTAAATACGAGCTATAGACACGAGGTAGTATAAATTATAAATGGAAAGCAAGTCACTCAAGGTCTTATTAAATCAAATGTTTTAATGTAATTTTAAGCTGATTTTTTGTTGCATTAGATTTAAAGAAAATATCCTTTTACGCTCGGATATATTGAACAAAATATCCATACAATTCAATTCCAACCTTGACGGGATTTTTGAAAAGCTGTATAGCCGATTTATTCAAAGTTAATATATAAATAACACATAGGTTTGTGAGAAACAGTATAAATATATTATCACTCGTTTTGTTTACAAGCCTTAGGAGTGATATTTTTGCTGTTATTTACAAACCGATGTGTCATTTATTTGAATATCCCGAACGAATTCTTCATTGGGACACTGTTTTTAAAGGTTTTTCTTTTTCAGATTTTAACTGTGAAAAAGTACTGTTCCATTAGAAACAGTATATAATTATAAGTCACAAGGTTCTCAAAGTTAATGCTGATATTAATTAAATGCTGTAGATAATGTTGCATATTGTTAAACTGAAACATTTTACTATTATCTTTGTTTTATCATCATAAAGACTTTTGCTCTTTTTTACAAGAATATTTTCATTGGTCATATATCCAGTTTCGAAACTAGCACACCTTTAAAAGAAAGAAATAAACCTACGTTGTACAATGAACTTTTAAGGCAACTTGCTAAATTATCAAACGTCCCCCCATAAAAAGTTTATAACTTTTGATACATTCTAGGCGTTCAGTTTTATGCAAGTTTTAACATTTTGGTTATATATGATCAAATTAGTGATGTATTATTTCAATGGAAAGAGCATTCAGAACTTGTTAGCCGATATGCCCGGTAAAGTAATGCCTATACCGTCTTTATGTTTTGACCAGGAGCAACCTAGCAGTAGAGAAATGCTGATAAGTAGGACAAAATCATTCAATAATTGCAAATAAAATGTAGATTATTACTTGCTCCTTGAATCGTTCTACCTTTTCCAAATTTTTAATTTCTTAAAATAGTTTGATTTACCTTTAATCCAGCTTTAATCCATCAAACATTCATTGCTCCGCGCGCACAGTCGCGGAGCTATTTGTGTTTACTTTTTTTGTCCATGGGCCCGGATTTTATCAATTAATCCCTTCGATTTACAGCTAAAAATAAATTCGGATTTAATAACTCCTTTCGATTATTATATTGGTTCCCCCTTCGGTGATTCGCAGCGTGTCATATTAATTAAATGAGAACCGGAAAGCAATTCTGCTGTACATGAAATCGAAAGCTATAAATAGCTATTAATGTTCTGATTTTAGACACGTAATAAATTTGTTATTCCCCTATTTTAGTAGTACATGAAATTATAATTTGTTACATTTTGAATTACATTTACACACAGCATATCAAGTATACTATTAGTGATTGAATTTGTCAATATAAAGAAGATTTCAGGCATAAGACTTTAATAATTTTGCTTTTGACAATTATTCTTAATTAATATTTATGAAACTAAATGTTTAATAATAACATGTTGATATATTGGTTGTTTTGAAATAATTATAACTTTAGTATATAAGGTAACATTTCTGTGGTAACATTGGTAATGCACGCCTTGCACGGAGGTAAATTATCAACACTGTGTTTCAAAATTAACTCTTTAAGGGCATGATTGTTGACATGTCCGGGAACCGTACTCGACAGCGAAAGCTTCATTTTGTGCCCGTACGGGCGGAAGGACCCTCATTAAGCATAGACTATAGAAAGATAAGAAACTTTGATATGCAGTTTCAACATGAGGTGTATTGTTTTTTTTATGAATGGTTTCATTCCCAATAAACAATAGCTTTTATCTTTTATGTCAAGTAGCTTTTCTATGTTTGACTCGCATAGTGAATTTCCTCATACCTGCCTAAAATTCAGGTAACAGTCTTCTATCAGTATTGAAAGAAACCATTTTTTTTTAATTTGACATAAAAAATGCATGTAATATTATTATATTATAATATAAGTCCCTTTTGTTACTATTTGTATATTTGTTACAATTATAATAAATTAAATAATAAAAACAGACTTTTATATTTTTTTCATCTGATGTTACTTATGTTACTTTCCGTAACAGGTAGGCATCAGTGAAAGCATTTTTTCAAATTAAATATCTGGCCCCTCTTTTTAATTATGGACAGTGCATAAGATAAGTATACTTATGAAAAAAATGGTTTACAAAACATTCGGAAAAAAATCTATAATAGTACTTAATCTGAATATAACATGACCTGTGCGTAGGAATAATTTAGTAATTTGAGCGCATTTTTGCAGCAACATTTGTACTTGTATTACATTGTTTTTCTATAAATCACTTGACGACATTTGCAAAATAATTGTATTTTAGTAATTTACTTATCTTCGTTCCCTGTTCATAGAAAATAAACTTAAACAGTCAAGCTCTTAATTATTATAATTTTAGACGCAACAATTGTTAACTGCAAATTCAATATAGATTTTGTATGATTGAAAAATGTATAAATGTCTTTATTACAAACTATACTCTGAAAATCAACCTTTTTTATTCTTGTGTATAGAAAATGTTTCACATTCACCGTGAAAAATCAATTGCGCAAACCAGAGTTCAACAAAAGCGTTATCATGAAAATCGAAAATGAGAAGAGTCCACTGATTGAGTACATGGAAAAGGCAGTTGTTGATGATGAACAAAAAAGACTTATGGAAAAGTATATTTTAATTTATCTATTAAATTTAGATTGTTAATCTATATATATGCAGCCAAACGCTTTATTTTTTTTAATTTTGAAAAAGAAAAAATACTTCCAAAATGCATGTTCGTTTGTTAAATTTGGTTTTACGTCACACCGACACAGTGTAGGTCATATGGCAACGTTCGAGCTTTACTTGGGGAGGAAGACCTCAGGTGCCCTGTCGTGAATTATTTCAGACACGAACGGGCTCCTGAGTAGAATCACCGACGTTTCGTAAGCTAGGTGGTTAGCTTCCTCTCATGAAAGAATTCAAAGTACCTGTCGGGATTCGAACCCACAGCGGTGAGGGACAAGTAGTTTGAAGTCAACGACCTAAACGGCCACGGACGCCCGAAACTGCCTGTTCGAATATTTCTTTAAAAGCAAGCACGAAATCAATGTGAACGGTTATAACCATAGTATATAAAGCAGCAGCATAATATTTTGTTCCGGAAAAAAAACAGACAGTTTATTTTACCTTATAATTTTAACTATATAATTTTACTGTTAATAAATTTATAAAATATTTCGATATATATCTTTAAATATTGCTGTGTATTTTTTAATAAAAAATCATTTTCTTTACAATTGATAAAAAGATTTTTTGTACCAATGCATTATGCAAATAATAATGATTCATCGAAAAAAAAAATTTTTTTTTAAACCAAAAACTGCCTTGATGAATATTGCAATTGATATACTATGGTCAGATAAAACTTTATTGTTATGATTTAAAATCAAGACATGCAAGACAATTGTGTGACTGCTAGAGTATTTCTTGTGATAAATTCAATAAAGTTTGATTTAAGTTATAACAATATTGAATTTAAACTCGGTACATATTCCCATCATTTAATGATCAGTAAACGTTAACTTCAAATTTTGCATTAGCTTGTAGATTCAACAAACCAAAAACATGCTGATTTCACAATAGTGTAAAAAGAAAAAAAAGGAGTACTTGAAAGAATTTTACCATTTAAAGTGACATTATGCTCATATTTTCATCGTCAAGTTGAGCTGACTTGATTTTATATTTCAAAAGATTGACTGTCAAAATAGTGTTTGACTAACAGTTGATATTGGAAAATGTTTAGGATAAAATTATAAATCTGCCTGAAATTTAAAAAGACTGCCCCGCTCTTTTTATAAACTAAGCGTTATAGGTAGATAATAATGGTACATTACAGAAATTACATTTGGATCTGTGTGTCATTTATTGTTTATGCGAACTTAATTATTAAATTGAAAGGAATAATGGCAAAATGAAAACTTATTTTGATCTTCACCCGTTCACTCACTATATACCCTCGGATGGACATAATGTCACTTTAAATATTTTGTTTTATCTCATGGCCTTTTACAAGCAAGACATGAAAATAATCTGACATCTTTTAGATTTACAGTCACATACTATTCTGGTAAGGGATATTTTATTGAAGCAATCAATGACGTTAGAGGAACCTATTTAGCCGATAAATCATATTGGCTGATAAGATCTGACTTAAAAAAAACAGACAAAGGTAAGGTTCAAAGCTTTATAATTTATTCATTTTCCCAGATGTATATGTATATGGAAAAAAACATGTGCAACAAAAATGACTTTACTTATATAAGTCAAGCCTCTGTTTTAATCGCAAAATGTTTCGTACACGAAACTACCTGAGTATCTACAGGACTAGTGAAATTATGATTTCAATCATATGACATAAAAGACGAACCTCAAATTTTTAAGGCAGCATGCCTCCAGTCGAGCAAAGAAAATATAATTTCTAATAATAAGAACTAAATTTTTTTAAGTAATTTTAATTTGCGTAATACTAGTTATTAACAACAAGCATGCAATGGATGACTAATTTTGCAGTATGTCGCGCCATATTTTAATTGCGTGACTGACGCATTTAAGGCTCTTTTGCATATTTGAACTTTCTTTTGATAATTCACGGGGATTAAATGTGCAGTGGGCAATGTGTAAATTACTTGTTCTGTCCACTAGATTATATTTTACTTTTTAATTCTTTTGAATTTTTTTTATTGAAATGAGCATGAGTCTGAAGGCATGCTGCTATGATATAAAGTTTTTATAATCTCATATGTAAATTAAAGATCCTGTTTTGAAATATGTTTGAATAAATGTTTCATACCGGCGCAAAAACTGTGCATTTAAATGTTTGAAGGTGGGATTAATAGCGTATTACCCTAAAAACTAAACGAAAATTAAAATGTTATTGCAAATAGCTGTATATTTTAGCAAAGTAAGAAGACATGGACGTTGTTTCAAATGTGCATTTATTCATAGATGAGTTAATAGAGTTAACATATTGCTTTAAAAAGCGATAGAAAGTATTTATTATTCATCTACATATTGTAGGTGATATGAGTGTTACATTGCTTTCGTTTCAGGTATAAGTTCTTTCATACCACAAGACGGAACGGAGGTTCTGTTGGAACTCATAACCGACGGTCCTGATGACAAGTGCGAATAATTGTATTGTGTGTTAACGTATTGTATTGTGTATAAAATTCTATTGAATTGTGTATTATATTGTGCTTGAAATTGTATTGAATTATTTATTGTATTATATTTATATTGTATTTAATAGTGTTTGATATCGTTTTTATATGTTTCTTGTACTGAATAGTGTATTTATCGAATTTCTATATTGTATTTACAGTGGAGCCTTGCTAATCCGAGCCCTTCTAATCCGAATTTATTCGTTCTATTTTCAATAGTAAAAAACCTTTCGGATCCGGAACCTGTCTACTCCGAATTCCGGACGATTTTTTCAATTTTTGTTCTTATTTTACTCTAAAATTAACCTCTGGGATCCGAACAGATTTTGCCAAATGTCACACCTACATGCAAATAACAAATAATCGCACATCTTGCAGGTGTAAACATCATCAAACTGATAAGAGTAATCTCGCTTAACTTTGAGGGCAAAACATTTTTGCTTATTTGTTTATTTTTATTCATTCATTTTTGTTCTCTAATGTATTAAAATGAACGATAAGAGAGTGCAAAATAAAATATTTATTTTGCAATTTCAAATGCATTCCCGTTTTCTTTCCTTAAACTATACTGCAAATAACATGAACAAACATGTAAAAAAACCTTCTAATCCGGAAACCTGTCTAATCCGAACTTTTCTCCTGGACCGGACGAGTTCGGATTAGACAGGTTCCACTGTAATTGTGTATTATATCGTATTTATAAGGTATTGGGGTGTATATTTTATCGAATCGTTTTGTTTTATGTTATATTGCATATTGTAGAGTTTAGAGTTTATTTCATTTATTTCATAAGGCTATTCACCCATGATACATATATACATGTACAATAAAAAGTGAGCATGATTTAAATGCATAACAAAGCGAACAAAGTTGTTATTACAAAAGACTTTTCATATATTCTTATGTTGGGGAGAAGGTGTATCATGACATATGGAAGCTTACCATTCTCAATAATTTAATTTATATCATTTATATAATGACTTGAATATGAATATGTTAAGACAAGTAACATGAAAAACAACATTTTCTCCTTAAATTACTATTCAAATTTGTAGATAAATACATTGAGGTACACGTAGCAATATATTGTTATATTTGTCGTAAAAAAGATAGGTAACTCTTGCATGAATTTAGTAAAGTAATGACAACAGTTATATACAGTATAACAAGAACATATAAATCAAATCCATTTTAATTATTTGCCTTACCGAAACGAAATGCAAGACGGGTATCATAGATGATTTTAAGCAAGAAACAAGAAATTGCATAAATCATAAAATTTCCTCTTGTCTTTTTTAATTAGACCAATGTTTTATTGCACATTTTTAAAACTAAGCACATAAGTAGGTTTACAATAAAAATAAATAAATCATAACTAAACTGAACCGTAAAGCGTTTCGTTTCTTTTTTTAACAGATTTCTACACAAAAAATCCTAGTTTATTACTATTTGTATAATTTTCATTGGTTAATAATTCAATAAATTTTACCATATTTGGATGTTTCCAGTATTTCTTATGAATAAATTGTTCCCTTAATTCAGTATACCTTGAACATTCTAATATAAAATTGTACTCATCCTGTAAAAGACGTTAAACACTTTCATTTATTAACAGGAGTTCTTGTAGGTCTGGACCAACGTCCAGTTTCTAATTGTAGCCTATGAGGGGAAACTCGTAATCTTCCCATAGCCTGGCACACTTTGTTTAGATATGTCTAGATATGTTTGTAACAAAAACATTGTTATTGTCCTATAAATTAAAGACCTACTAGAAATATGTAATCTTTCATGCACGTTTTGAACAAACTTGTCCTTTAAACGTTGAAACATATCAGTATCTTGTACACTCTGCTGTAACCAGACATCATAAAATCCTGACAAACATAGAAGTTCTTTTAATTTCGAACACCCGTTTACTATATTCGGGTTATTTGCAAAATCATATACAATAATTTATAAACTCTAATAACATGTTTGTTTTCGTTGCTACATAATATTTTTATCCAAAATTTTACAACATTGAAAAGAAGTCTACAAAGAAAAGATATTCTACCAAGTTTCCAATGAATAAAATTATTTTGTGTAGACTTTTATAACTCCTAGAAACTTTAGAAAAACTGTAAGCATACCGGTTCTTTTGTTGAGCAAACACTAAAAACCCATTATCTCACTACCATAGTTTAATATAGGTGTAATTAATGTATCAAAATAATAAAGCAATATACGTAAATTTATGTAAACATTTATCACGTTTAAAGATAGCTTTCTGTGCCTGTCAAGCTAACATTGTTTGTGTTTTTGTAACGGATTCACAATTGGTCTTAAATTTTCCCTCTAAACCCTGACTGAATAAACTTGTAGCAAAGATTTTTACTCACAACGTAATCAAATGCTTAACTGTAGTCACCAAATAGATAAAAATTGAATTATAAAATGCGATATTAAACCATTTAAACAAATACATTATAGATGGTACTCACATTTGATCTAAAGCCTGAGCTTCAATGTAGACATTATATTTTTTCAGCCTATTTTTTAACCTTGCATTAATTACACTTGAAAATACTTTTACCAAGAGTGCTTAACAAAGTGATTCCTCTATAATGTTCTACTTCATTAAAACTACCTTTATTATATAACATAATGAGATATCATTCTGACTATTTATCAGGAAAATATCCAGTTTCAAATATCTTATTGATTTAAACACATAATAAATAACAAATATTGACAACAAATCTGGGCCTGCCGATCGATTACGTTTCAATTGAATGATTGCTTGTTTTATCTTGTATTATAAGATTATTACATTTAACTCCTGAAACAGAACTTTTAATTATTCATCTCTATATCTAGTATCAAAGTCTAAAATATCATCACAAGAAACAAAAATATATCCTCTGTGCTATTTACACCACTTAAATAATGTTCAAATTTTGACAATAAAATATCGGCCGGTTTAAGCCCTGCAGTCTATTTTAACATGTTCCAGTATACACGAGCATTCTTCAATTTATTGTTTTCAAATTAGACGCTTGGTTAGCAATCATATTCAAATCTACATGTATATAATAATTTTGTTATATTCTGATCTACATTAAACCATATTAATTTTATCTTCGTCACAAAGGTTACTACGGTTATAAGTCGTTATAAGCCTTTTTCGGCATATTCATTGTTATACCAAGGGCAATCAGTTTTAACGCTATGCTCACTATTTAAAATATTCATAACTTTTATATTTTTTCTTAAACACAGGTGATCCAATATCATCTATAATATTTTCAAAACTATTCAGACAATCATTTATAGCATTGCCTTCATTGCATAATAAAATATAATCTTATAACACAATAATCTTTTTTATGTCAGTACAATTCAAACGATGAACAAACTATAACATAAATCATTGTTCCACGAATATTTCATTTTAACGCTATCTGATATATTTTCATCAATGCACAAAGGCAACATACAATTAAACACAATATCAAACAATATCAAGACAGTGATCTGATAAATTATTTGGTTCATGTACATGGAAATGTTTAACATGTTTAAAAGAATTTTGTTGCCATAATACATTATCAATAACACTTGCACCAAGGTTATTTACAAAAGTTTAATAACCAATATTCAAATAGTTTCCTGATCTACCATTTAGTACCATGAAGTACTCGTAACCCTGTCTGTGTACAAAAATCAAGTAAAGCTAATCCATTTTAATTAACATGATCTTGATCTTTTGATATCCTGGGTGACTCATTATCAATAATATAATCCTCAGGTAAAATATCTATATGTGTATAATTATATCGTGTTGTATTGCAATGTAGTTAAATTTAACAATATTCATTTAATTTAAACAAAATAAGTTAAAACCATCAAGTACATAAACATAAAATGATAAAGCTTTTTTAAAGACTATATCGTTTATAATAAAATAATCTAACAACTGTATTGTAATAAATGATAATCAGACCCCACTTAGAGTTTTTGTTTGTGTTTGTTTGTTTGTTTGTTTCATTTTACGCCTTTTCCCAACAGTCTTTCAGTCATATAGGCGGGTAGTTTCCTAACCATCGTTCCTGGAGAGGTACACCAGTACTAGACTACCTTCCTCCGCGCTAAACACCAAAGCATCTCCAGGGGATCGAACCAAGGCCAGAGAGGTAACTGGATTAGAAGTCAACGCAAGTTTCGACGCAAACTAGATCTTTCAACAGTAAAACATTCTGCATTTCCAGTATTAACCGCACAAAGTAGTCTGACAACAACATACCTTTTGTTTATTTTTACAAACCATTTTAAAATGAATATGCTTATTGGATTTAGGTTAAATACAAGACAAATGTTTACAGAGTAACAATGATACATTTATAAGGTATAAAAGGCTATACCTGGATTTATTATACTATATACTTTGTATAAATGCTATATAGGATCTTTAAGTGTTTTTTCTTGACTTTGTAATAAGTTTTAAATACTAGCTAAATGCTTAAATGCTAGTTACGGATTTGGGCAATATGGGGGAAAAAATAGGGACAAAAGAAATTTTAAAACAAATTTTATCAACTTTTTAAAAAATTTCCCTTTTTATTCTAAAAAATTGTTTCGGGAAAAAAAATAAAAAAATTTTAAAATTTAAAAAGATCGGGTTTTTGCCGTAAACGAAAGGCTCTCTCGTAAAAACTTGATTTTTAAATTTTTAAAAACTAAGTGGGGTTTTTTAAAAATTGGGGTGATTAATTTGTTATAAAGCATTTGAACGAAAAATAAAACATGCACTGTTATACTATAATACACGAAAAATAAATACCTTTTTCCAACACGTGTTTTCTAACACTTCAAGAAAATAAAAATATATGTTTGCAGGATAATTTGTTTTTCCCTCAGAGTTTCCAAAAGAAACGTCTGTTCCAGTCAGTTGAAAAAACTGTTGTTAAGTCTACCGTTTTCAGAAAGATTTTGAGAATACTGAATTTTGAAAACGTTGATAAACTATTTGTTACACTGATTTCAAGCGAAATATAGAGTATTTATGGT